GTTTAGGGCTCAGGGCTTTGGGGTTCGGGGTTTTGAAGGAGTTTTCTGGAAGAAAAGACTGGATTGAAGACTGGGTCTAAAGGCTTTTTTTCATGAGGGTACTAGACGATTCAGGCTGAGAGTAAGACTTGCGGGCATTAGCATGTGGTGACTGCCAATCTCAGCATCTCCATGATTATCGCCAGTACCATTGTGAAATTCCGGGATCACAGCATCAGATTTGGTGCTTGTTGGCCTGCCCACTGCCATCCAACAATGTGTGACAGTGTGAAGCTACAGCCCGTAGATGATGCTATTTGCCTAATCTCAGGGCCTTAATAATGAGAATAGGGTTNNTACTATAGTTATAATAAGGAGCCCTTAGAATGATATTGGTAATTCTTGGGGCTTCCACAGTATACTGCAATTAGGATTGTCCTGCTTCTGATCTCTACCAGCCATCTGCTTCTCACTGTTTGCCGTAGCAGCCATCGTCGCAGTTGTATCCCTGCTAAGACCACTCGCGTCGTGAGTGAGGGTTTAGGGTTTAGGGTTTAGGGAGATCAGGATAAAATACAGCTTCTCTGGACATTTTTACGATGATCATAAGCACAGACCTCGACAACCTAAGCCAAAAACAAGCACGACTGCAAGTGCGCTACTGGCTGGTGGTCTAAGATTTCCAAGCTTGGGATACGGAGGTTAGGGTTGTTTTCAATGTTCGGGCTCAGGGTGAATTGCAGCCAATGCTTAGAATAGGGTCTTGGGGTGTAGTATACGATGGCACCCTAAGTGGAATGATGTAGACCTCAGTTATTAACCGTTACACCCGAAACTAGACCCTGAACCCCTAAACATTCAACACGTCGACCTTCGAGTAGCCCAAATATTATGCGCAGTGCCCGGCGATTCCCGGAGTTCATGGTTTGGGTTCCTGAACCCGACGCCTTGAACCGTTGCAGAGACTCCAAAACCCTAGAATCAATAGAAACATACCTTAAACTACAGAAGGATAATCCTAAATCAGTAAGTTTGGTGTCTCAGGAGGCACGTTTTGCCTGATTCTTGCGAAGGAGTCTAGTTTAAGTTACCGTAATCGCTTCCCCAGTTCATCAAGCACCCCGTAATAAACAAACATGTTTGGGGAATTCCTCCCGAAAACTATCCTTGTCTTTAAAATAGCCCGTTCTGTATAAGAGGGGTTCAGGAGTAAGAGCAAGAGCAGGAGCAAGAGCGAGATCCC